CTCCCGGCCGGGTGCCCGGCCGCTCCCTCGGGGCGACCGCAGCCTAAACGGGGCCTCTGTCCCCGTCCTTGCTCCCTCCCGAAGCCGCCGGCGTCCCCGCAGCCCTGAACCTCCGAAACAGCCCGTGGGGAGGGGGTGAGGGTGGGCAGAGGGGCACGGGCTGGCCCCGGCAAAGAAAAGCGCAGCCTGGGTGTTCTGCCATCAGCGTTGTTTAATTTAGACTGTTTAGGTACAATAGAAAATAAACCCGAAAGCACATGCGATTTTTGGTAACAAATACTCGAGACAGGCAGCGTCATCCGCGGGCTCTCTGCAAGCCGGAGGAGGGAAGCGACGAGCGGGCACAGACAGGAGAAGGCAACGGGGAACTGGCGGGGAAATTTAGGAGGAAATGGCCGTCCACTTTTATTATTATTATTATCCTAATTTTTAGCCACATCGATGCATTTCACCACCGAAGAGGAGAAAGGTGGGGAACGCGGGTCCACGGGAGCCCACTCAGTATCTGCCTCGCACGGCCGCGGTCAGACACAGGCACTTGGTAAAACTCTAATACTGCAGCTTTTAATATTTTTTTTCACCTTATTTTTTCTTTTTTTTAAATTTTTTTTTTCCTTTTTTTTTTCCTTTTTTTTTTTTTAATTTAAACTACATCGAAATCTTTTTGGTAAGGCTAAATATGAAAAATGTAAACGTAACTTCCCCTCCCTTCTTCCACTCCGACACAGGGCTCAGTACAGCGGTTCTCTCCCTCTGTCCCCGTCCCAGCTCCTCGGGGACCGGGCCAGGCAGCAGCAGGGATGCGCCGGCCGACCCTGCCCCACCGCGCCCACAGCGCTGGGATTTGTTTGGGTGGAATCGGATCCAGCAGGGCTTGGGATTTTTATTTTCTTTTTTCTTCCCTTTCCTCCCCACCTCCCTCCCCTTTTTTTTTTTTTTTTTTGTAATTCCCGTTGGGACCAACTCGTCTGAACTCGAAGGGGTGATGAGGGTTATTGCCGCTCTCTGCGTTTGGCTACGTGGAAAAACAAAAGTTAAAAAATCGTGGTGATAGTGGGAGACGCTGAGGGGGAACTGGAGCAAGAGCCGATGTGGGGTTGTGTGAAAAGAGCCGAGAGTCCCGTTAAGAATCAGCGGGTGAGCTGTAAAACCGGGTGCTGTCCTCTATGTACAACCCAGAGCCTCTGTCCCCGAGCAGAACCTCCTCTCCCGATCCTCCGGCGGCCCGCCGAGGGCCTTTAGGATCCCAGATCCACCAGGCTGGACGTGAGGGGTCCGAGCAGCGAGTCCTGGAGCTGGTGGCCTTGGAGGCTGTGAGGGGTCTGGGATGCGGCTAAGCCGCTCAGGGAATAGCCGGAGCTTCTGGCGTGGCTGAGGTTCCCCTGCAAGAGCAGGACCGAGTTCTGATCCGGGCTTTGGGGAGGAGAAAACTCTTCCTCGGAGCTGGACATGAGGGGTTTGCTCCCATCCAGAGGCGAGAGTTGGTTCGGTTTGTTGGTGGCCGCGTTGTTGTTTTCCGTGTTCTCTCTGCGGAAAGGCGAGAAAAAAAACCAAAAATATAATCCCACAACGGGGATGTTAGGGCGGGCATGAGGCGGCGGGGATGGGCATTGTGCTAATGCCCACCATAAATCCTTCGCGTTTAGTTCCAGCGTGGGAGCAGATGCTTCTCAAGGGGGGAAAAATAATCCTAATAATTTCACAACCGATCGTCCCTATTTCTTTTGCCCCTCCTACAAATAAGTACACTGAACAACCCGGTAATTTAGCTGAGGTGGGAAAATTGGATGAAGATATTTTTTTGAGGGTCGTTTTTTCTTTCTTTTTAATTAAAAATGAAAGTGCGGCCCGGGGACGAGCTGCGTGCGGGGTTTTCTCCAGGAAGCTCGGTGGCGAGGTGGCCGAAGGAGATGCCCTCCGTGGCTCTCCGCCTCTTCGGGCCGAGCGGTCGCCTCGCACCGAGGCCATCGCGTCGCCTGCCGGGGTGGCCCCGGTACGGGGCGGCGGCCCGGCCCGGCCAGAGCGCCCTCATCCCGTTCTCTTTCTGCTTCCCCCGACCTCTCCATCCAACCCGGAGCTGCATCTCTTTCCTCTGAGCCTCGGAGCTACCCTACCCGACCCTCGGCAGCACACCACCCGGCATCCCGAGCGCGTCCCGGAGGCTCCGGGTCCGCATCGCTCCCGGTTTACCCGGGAAGGCAGGCAGCAAACAAAGGCGGCGGAGCGGCCTGGAAGAGCACGGTGGGGGTTCCTCGTTCCCCCAGGGCAGGTGAGGTCGAGTGGATCTCGGGTGGAAAAACTCACTTGGGTTTCCACGGAAGGGGAAAACGCAACGGGGTTTGCCAAAAAAAAAGAAAAAAATTAAAAAAAGAAAAAAAAGGATTTGAAGGGAACCGTGTGCTTTCATCGCTCCTATCCCGTCCGGCTCGGGGTACTGGCCGAGCTCCCGGAGCAGCTCCCGGGCTTCCCAAACGCGTCCCGCACGGTGGAATAGAGAGAAAAGCAGGGAACGGAGGGGTGGCACGTACCTTTCCTTCGCCTCGGCCGCTCGGTCCCGTTGCCTCCTGTTCTTGAACCAGTTGCTGACCTGGGTGGTGGTGAGACCGGTGGCTTCCGCCAGCTCCCGCTTCTCCCGGGGGGACGGGTAGGGGTTGTGGGCGTACCATTCCCGCAGCACGCCCCGGGATTTCTCCTTGAAGCAGTAGCTGGTTTCCTCGCCGTCCCAGATGGTGCGGGGCAAAGGGAATTTTCGGCGGACGCGGTATTTGCCGACGGCGCCCAAGGGTCTGCCCCGCAGCTTCTCGGCTTCCACGTAGTGCGCCTTCAGCCAGAGCTGCTGCAGCTTGGGGTGGTTGTGGGGAGAGAACTGGTGGCTCTCCAGGATCTTGTAGAGCTCGCGGAAGTTGCCGCGGTGGAAGGCCACCACCGCCTTGGCCTTGAGGACGCTCTCGTTCTTGTGCAGGTGGTCGCAGGCCGGCAGCGACCAGAGGAACCGGCCCAGCCTTTCCAGGTTCCCCCCTTGCTGCAGCACCTCGCAGACGCAGGCGACCTGTTCCTGCGTGAAGCCAAACGACGGCAGCATCGACATGGCCGAGCGCGGCGGCGGCCGCAGGAGGACGAGGAGAAGGAGGAGGAGGAGAAGGACGAGGAGGAGGAGGCGACGGGCACCCCGCGGGAGCGCGGCGGCGGAGGGGCGCGGGGTAGGCGCCCTCCGGGCCCGGGCCCAGCGCCGATCCGGATCCCGGTGCCGGTCCCGGTGCCGGCCCCAGAGCGGGGAGGCGCTGCGGCAGCCGAGGGCGGTGTGTCGGGCGAGCGGGGATGCTCGTCGCGGCGCCGGGGGGGACTTTGTCCCCGCTCCGCCGCCGCCGCGCTTAAAGCGCCCGAGCCCCCGCGCAGCTCTGATTGGGCACCCCCGGCCCGGCCCGGCCCAGCCCGGCCAGCCCAGCCCAGCCCAGCCCGGCCCGGCGGGCAGAGCCTCGGCACGGGCGGGCGGGGCCTGGCGGCGGGGACACGGCCCCGGACACGGCCCCGGCCGCGGCTGCGCGTCCCGCCGCCGCCTCTGCGCGGGTGCGGCCCCGGCGGCTGCGGGGGGAGCCCCGCCGCCCGCGCCCCCGGGCGCATCTCCGGGGAAGCCGCTGCCGGCGGGCTCTTGTCTTTCTTTCTTCCATCTTTTTTCCTCCCCAAAACTCCTGCCCCCAGCTCGCCGTCCCCTGCCAAGGCCGCCCGTATTTAATTACCTTAGAGCTGGGGATGAATAAATAATGGTTTAGTGAAGAGCTGAATAACGCGCGGGGCCCGTGCGCCCCTTCCTGCCCCTCGCTCTGCCCAGTTCCCCGCGGGGGGGGGGGGGGGGGGGGGGGGGG